TAAATTCACCTGTGAGAAGTAATTCGTTTCAGAAGATGTAAAGCTGGAGACAAGCAGACCTCAAGGAGTCAGCAGACCTCTAGAACCATACAGAAGCGAAAGGGTAAGGTAGACATCCTTTTTTTGTTACTGTCACAGACAGGATACTGTGCCAAACATGGTCATTCTCAAGAAAAGATTGCTTAAACAAGTTTTGGCTCCAGGATCACTTTCCACATGAACACAGTTTGATTAAGGGAACACTCTCCCAACTTAAGCTCAGGATGTGTCACCTGGTTCCTACTTACACTCACACAACAGGATTCTAGACTTGAGCACTAGCCTAATTTTTGCCAAGAGCTTGAATATGTTTGGGAATTCAGGCCTGGGCTAGGCTGTCTATGTAGCTATAATTACAATATTTAATAGCATCCTTTCAAACTAATTCTAAAAAAACCCAAACACAAAACCCCAAAACAAACAAAAAACAAAAAACAAACCAAACAATGCAAGATTGTATGTCAGAGGTGTAAATATTCTGTTTTAAATCAACTTTTACCAGCGTACTGCCTGTCCAATATCTCCTACTTCAGTGACTTCTCCAAACCTGAAATTCATATTCTGTATTCCTACAGCTGACACTTTGATCTGTTTGACCTTTCATATTGACTTATCCAGAGCTTTATTTCATTTTCAACCCATATGGAAATTGAAAAAGGAGGCTGAAATGAGGACGAACAGGAGAAAGTAGAATACGAAGCTACACAGAGTAGTCTTGACTCCTCAAACTGACAGATTGCAGTGTGAACAAGCCCCTCTTGTCCCCCCATTGCCATCCACTGCCACCAGATCTTCTTGAATTCTGAAACAAGCTATTGTTCTTCAAAGACTAAATAGACTATGAATGTTTGTAACCTCCACAGACAATAAGTAGCAACTGCTCTGTAGACATCACTTCTTCTCAGAAGCACAGAAATGAGCACAAGATGTTCGATACCAGCAACAAATACATTGCATCATCAGAAGTGAAATAGAGGTGGTACCTGTAATGCATTGACCACTCTGATTGGGTGCTCTTCACCCAGTGCCTGGATGCAGTGCTGAAACAAGCAGTTGATGTTATCTTTTATCTTCATTAACTCTTCCCCGTCTAGTGCCTCCAGCTTGCCTTCTAGATATTCCAAGTTGACCTGTCAGGTTAAGCAGCAGTTTGTGCATGTTACACAACAACTGACTCCTTAGAAACGCAAGTCCTTGTGCTGACAGTCTGCCACATCGTAGGCAGCACAGCAGCAGCAAATCAGAGGACATTCAACTCCTGTTACCTTCATGAGAAACAGCTCCTCCCAAAACCTAGGGTTGCATTTACTGGGGTCTTCTGTCTGAAAGGAAAAGGAACAACCATGAGAGCAAACAATTCAGGCAGAATTTAAAGAAAATCATTATCATGAGTAGCTCAGAGTCAGCATCATCCCACTGGATGCCCAAGTGGTCTCACAGTATAGAATTCTGTCTACACAAATTCCCAGAAACAAAGGACAAACGAAAGCAGCTCTCAATTAGGATGCCTCTGTTTATTTTCTGGATTATTTTTTGAGAAATGCTTGAAAAGCCGTGACTTCCCATAGATTGCAAATGGTCCTGGTAGACAACAGGACAAGGCGACATTAAGGAAGAAAGCAGAAAACAGAGCTCTGCATGAAAGCAGGAGAGCCTGAAGCATGTGCCTACACTGTGCAGTCCTTACCTTAGAAAAAGAATCCACCACGCAGAGCCTTCAGTACAAAATAAACCAGAAAAATATAACGCAACACTTTAGAAAGAAGAGATGCTTAAATCCTTACCGTGAAAATCTCATCATACATCAACACAACTTTCTCCTTCAATGGCTTTTTGGAGGCTGAAGATTTCCGAAGCAGCCCACCTTTCTTCTCTGTCTGGGCCATGCTGTATACACTGAAGGTAAGAACAGACAAAAAAGGCTAAGGAAACTTGAACTTTTCTTCAAGGCATATCTGGCCTGCCTCAACCATGAAAGACTTTTTCGCTGCGCTGAAATACTAACAGCCTCTCACAAGCTGAAAGTAGGGGCTTTAATAACTATACTACATAAGAAAACAGATCAAAGGTCCCATCTAGACCCACATCCCATTTCAAAGAAAGATGCAAAAGTTCAGACACAGGAAGATACAGAATAAGCTCCTTATGAATACATTTTCTTAATTCTCCTCTGCCAGAAACTGATTCATGATCCAGACCAACACCGTTTCCATCTAGAAAAGAATGTATTTTTCAATCTCATTGCATGAGCTGCACTACTTGTTATCAAATGGATACCCAGTCCTTTTTGACACTGGTCAAGCCTCAAGGACACCTCATGATAAAAAGCTCCTGAAACTGTTTGAGAAAGTCTTCTCTTATCTGTTTAATTTGCTGCCAACCAAAGCACTTCAAATTCTGCTTTTGCATTCTGAGGCGGCGTCCAACACTAGGAAATATTTGGCTGCAAAGCCTCCCTAGCACTCCAAAAAGCTTCCCAAAGCACTCCTGCCACCTTTGCTCATCCCTACCTCAGCTGTGCCAGCTGCTCTGCAAATCAAGCCAGAGAGGAACCCAGCCTCAAAAGCATCACATGTGGTTCATTTTTAGGAGGAAGATGGGAGGAACACCGGGGAGAAGCTTTGCAGGGATTTTTTTTATATTTTTTTTTAACCAGATTAATTTCCTGATCTATTTAACAGAAAAGGTTTTATGGAAACACAAACAGGTTTTACTATAATTAATTTGTGTTTCATGCTTACTGGTTATCCTGTTAAAAAAAAGGAAGTATCACTATTACAAAACGAGCCGTTACAAAAAGTAACGGCCATAACTGTAGTCGTGAACGTTATGTGACATCAACCCATTCCAGAGGCTGAGAGTCAGAACGCATGACTTGCCATGTACTCCCAACCTCGTGTCTGATGCCACAAAGCACATCACCACTCTGACCTTGTAAACATATATTTATCTACAATCACAGATTTTTCTGGCAAGTATCACAGCTTTAGCACTGTTCTAACCTCTATCACTGTAACACTGCCAGAGGTACTTAAGGGAATGCCATCCCTTCTCATATCCCTGAGCTCCCAAGCTTTCTGCCATACCTCCAAAGGTAACTACACACAGCAGCAGCACACCTCAGTCAGAAGCTTGACTTAAGTCATGCTCCAGAAAAACATGGCCAGGCTGTTGTGGTAGCTGCACTCAGCCATGCTAAATTATGCATAGAGAAGTTCACTCAAGTCAGCATCTAAGACCCCAGGGCTTTCTGAGCTGGGAGCCATGGAGACAGCTTTGGATTTAACCTCCATCCCAGACTACCTGAACCCCCTTCCACAACCACGGCAGGTTTAGATCTTTCTTTAGATCTTTTAGTCTTTCCCTCAAAGAGCAACTTCCAGCAACTACTGAATGCCAGTTCCAGATCTCTTCTACATTCTTTCCACTGCAGACAGCTTTTGATTACCTTAAACTACAGCTATGTTCTCATCTAGGACTGTCAGGCTTCCAGAGTTGGTTATTCAGAGATCCATCCCTTGAGCTGTAAATCTCAGTTCTGAGTGGCAGGAAAACATCTTTGGACCTGGAGAAACAGTGCTGCTGCAAAAGACCCTGCCCCAAGAGTGAAGGGAAGGAGCTTTGCCTGGATGGGAAAGCAGAGGGTAGGACAGACAGCAGCAGATCTCACACCTGAAAAGATAACATTTATCTAGAAAAGCAGAGGTGTTCTGTCTTCCTGCTAGAAAGGGAATATGCACAGGTGACTGGTTAAGGGCTGGTGTATGTGCTGGGGTAAGAATGGAAACAGCCTCAAGACACATTGACAGAAGAAAGCTTAGCAACTACTGCATCATAACCTTCTGTAAATCCCAAAATTATTCCTGTAGCCTAGTAAGTCTATATACCCAATTAAGATGGAAAGAGGTTTCAGTCTAACAAACAAAACAGAAAACATTATTCAATCATTTTGATAGCTTCTCTTTTACAGACTTTGCATTATTTTTAAACTGTCATGGGAAATAAGACATTATTCTAAATAGAAACATAATTGGAAATAGAGAGAAATCTATTAAAAACCAAATCAAGAACTATGTCGCTTTTAGCCTAGCAATACAAACCTTACCCAAGATTGCACAAAACAGTTTCCCAACTAGAATTACAAGTTTCTGAACCTAAAGCAGCTGCCATTCCCAGCATACAAACACATCCATCAGCATGCTTCTAATTGAATTACAGCTAATGAATCCCAATGTCAAAACTAATAAACTAACCCTCAGTGCTTCTAGGTCAGCGTTCTCACATCAAATGTGTACGTGAATGGGAAGGGATCAATACACTCTGCTTAGTCCCCGGACTTCGAGAGCTGCATTTTAATATTTTTCCTACATTTTCAGAAAGACAAAAATCTAAATCCCACAAGGCACAAAGGATTGATGCTGGGGGAGCATCAGAGGGATTGCATGATCATGTGAAAATTCTAGTCTCTGTCAAAATGGGACTTGAGATTCATATTCTCTCAACCAAAGCTGCACAGAGCACATACAAAGACGACTGCTAGAGGCAAGGATTAAATAATATTCTCATTTATAATTTGCTATTCTACAAATGAGCATATGGAGAAGCAAGGGGAGAAAAGGAAAAGTCGTCTTTCATGCCAACGTTTTATCAGGCTCTGCTTGTTTTATAACCTATGATCATCAGGCTGTACGAATGTTTCCTTCTTTTCACTTTATGCAATTACATTTTCTATATGTCATAAAGACAGAAACAGGAAACTGCATTTTGCTAACAGGGACCTTCTAAGCAGCTGCAGAAAACAACAGTTAAATGCACAAAGCATTTATAAGTAAGTTGTAGAGGCGTCAAATTATCAGGACATCGTGACAGCTTATGAAAATGACGACACTGAATGTAGTTAACAATTACCCTTTAAACACATCACATGTAAAAAGCATTAGTGCACTTTCCACATTTTGAGTTCAAATGCGTAATTTATTCTGTCAATAGGTCAGTCCCATTAACACATGCTGCTAAGTGAATCCTGCTGCAGCCGCTGGCTGCACGGGAGAACTACCCCTGAGGGCCAAGAGACACACACACATCTGGATTTTTAGAACAGCAAGTACTTCGCCAAGCAGCAGAAGATCCAAGATGCTTCATCTGGAACTAAAAGAAACCTCAACAGAGCACGAGTCTCAGTAGCTCAAAGGCAGGAAGATAAAAGCCACAGCAAACAGAAGCTTGGGCAGACTCTTGCTTTATCTATCATCAAGCCCAGGATCAGCTGATCCAGTCAGGAAGACAGGGATGAGCACATCCAACCATCCACCTCCCTTCCATTTCATTCCAGAACTCATAGCAGAGATTCCAACCAAACATGTGACATTCTGATGAATGCATGTCTTTAGAATATCCACGGGAAAAATGAACTTGACATTTTGAGTTCGAGGTTTACTCAGACTTGTGCACATTGAAAACTGTGGCTGCTCCACCTTGTCCCTCAGCTCCCATACAGACTTATTACTCCACAGTTCATCTTATAATAGTAAAAATAGTACTGTAGAGAACGTAACACTAATGCACATCTACACTATAATTGTTGCTCACCAGCCTGGGCTGCGG